CATCAGTCACTCCACCATTTCCCACCTAACCCCTGTGTATAGGATGGCAACATGTGAAAGAGATGAAGCCAGTGGTAGCTCCTGATTTCCATCCTGAATAGCAGCACCTTGCTATTTTACCTGGTGGTTCCTTTCCCATGTCACTCATCCATCTAAGGTGCTGCCCCACTGCTAAATGGCTTCTGGACTTGTGCTGTTCACCAGTGAGCTGGAAATTGGATTATCAGTAGGATGGACAGAGCAAGACAGCTCAGTCCACGGAGAAAGCTAACCGGAGTTTATTTTCCGATTTCTCATCCTCTAAAACTCTACCTAGGACGATGTATATGTATGTATGTATGTATGTATGTATGTATGTATGTATGTGTGTGTGTGTGTGTTGGGTCGGGGGTTAAGGAATGAAGGGAGAGGGAAAGGGATGGAGGGAGAGGGAGGGAGAGTTTGGAGGAGGGCTAGGAAAAGGGGCTGCAGGATTAATTATGACTTATTAAACTATTGGAACACAGGCTGAATCATTGCAGTAAAAAAAAAAAAATAGCTGCAACTTGAGGTGACACATCTCCCACTTCTTTCTGGTCCCCTTTGCTCCCGGCACCGCGGGCACATGGGCCGTGCTGTGCCAAACCAGCAGGTGCTGACTGACAACTAAAGCTGTATGGCCCCCAAGCCTCCAACTGTGGACCTCTGGGGGGCGTGGGATTTCGATCCCCCTGAGCCTCTGATGGCTCCTGGAGCTGAATCTTGGAACCCAGGTGCAGTCACACACCTGCAAGCCTTGGCAGCTGCAGGAGAAGTGCTTTCCTCCTGGCTCTTTTTCCTCTCTGCCCTCTCCGTTTTTGCAATCTTAGCCCTACGCCCTGAGCCCAGGACTGGCCCACGGAAGACGCCGCTTTGCAAACTTGTGCGACTAAGAACATTAAAGAGGTCCCAGAGCAAGTCTGGGTCACCCCAGCCGCCGCGCGGGCTGCGTGGAACATGCTGGGTGAAACAGAACCGATTCTATGAAATCGGAGAAAAGCAGAGCGTGTCCTTGCCATGAGTCCTGAGGAGACCGAAGTCGCTGCACCCTTCACGCCCCCGCATGCAGGTGGGCTCCCCTCCCTCCCCCGGTGCCCGCGAGCTCCGCCGGCTGCCATCAGCAGGATTCTCCACTTGTCTCACCCCTGTCCTCCTACAGGACCCGGGGGGCGGAGCGAAGCCGCTGTGACGTAACGCGAGGGGGGCGTGGGGAACGGCACCGAGGGGCTCCCGCCCGCCTGGGCCAGTCCAAGCCGCGCAGCCACCAGCGGCGCGCGCGCGCTCGCTCGCAGGGCCACCCCAGTCCAAGCGCCAGTCCGCCAGGGCGCCGGTGATCTGTGGCCAGGGAGGCTCTCGGACGCGCAAGGGGCCGGCGGGAGCCGGCGCAAGGAGGCCGAGGGGCTGCGAGCCCCGGTCGCCGGGCATCTGCCGAGCTGCTGCGCTCCTGGGCACCCGAAGAACCCAGTTAACGGATTGCCCAGGAAAAGCAAGGTGAGGTGTGTGTGTGTGTGCGTGTCGGTATGTGTGTGCATGTGCGTGTGTGACACAGAGTCGGAGACAGAGGGACAGAGATGGAGGGATAGAGAGAAGCGCACTTAGGCACCTGTGTGCATCTGCGCTGATGATCGCGCGCCCATCGGTGCGACCTGCTGTAGGTCCCGGCGCACGATTCTGCGCCCTTGTGCCTTAGGGTGATAGTGGTGGGAATGAACGACAGCAGGTACCCCGGCGTGAGTCGGGGACCGTAAGATTTGTCTGCACAGCCTCTGTACGTGTGCGTGGCATATGCCCTGCAGCTCCGGTGTCCAGGTGGTAGCTGTGATGAGGACAACTTCTTTCCCAACCACCTCCAAAAGAGCTCTGGTGCAAGAATAGAGAGGCCAGGGTGGTGGGAAAGTGTCAGGTGCCACCGCGGGGTTCCTGCGGATGTGCACCCCGAGACATCCCGAGCCTGGATTGAAGAGCTGATGGGGACAACGAGCGGAGGAAAGGAGAGTCTCCCCTGGTTTTCCTCGCCCACTAGGGAGGCGGATGGAACGCGTCTGGGTCTGGCTTCCCCGTCCCTGGCAGAGATCATGGTTTGCCTAGATTGGAGAGCCCCAACCGTTGAATGTCTAAGTCCTCAAGCGACCGTCGTCGCTCCCAGCTGTCTCTGGCACCTCAGTCCCCTCTGCGTTAAGAAGCTAGATGTGCTGGCACTTCAGCCTTCTCTCTCCCTTCGCCTTTCTGGAAATTGTTGGGGATGCTTCATGAAACCTTTGCTCCGGGGTCAGCGAGTTGATGGCGAGGCGGAGGGTTTTCCAGAACCACCTTCATGGTCCCGACACTCGCCTGTCCCCGCCCTTCCCCTTTGGCCAACGTCGCCGGGGCTTTTCTTAGGTGCTGTAGCTCCGCGGTGGCCCACACTGGGCTGTTGTCTCTCTGCCGATGAGGGTTCAGGCTCCAGCCTCAGAGAGAGACCAGGCTGGGTTTCAGGAGGGAGCAGAAGTGGGGATTTGAATGGGAGAAAGATAGTGGGAAGATGGGAGAAGCTAAGGCTAAGTAGAATTTAGGGGGTCCCTACCCCAACTCTCCTTTGGGGGAACTGCAGTCTGTCTGGGCAAGAGACCATTGCCACCCTCCTCTCTAACAGAGCCAGGATTCATCTCAGAGGAAACCAACAACCAGGCCATTTCCAGTATCTAACAACTCTAAGGCCTGAGAAAATAAAGCAGAAAATCAAAGTTACTGATACAGCTAATCTAACCACAATTCAACAAGTATCGACTGGCTGGCATTTGGAGTCCACATTCTGTAGGACAAACGCGAAACGGAAGTCACAGGGAGGGCTTAGGCAAGCTGACTTCTTTGTTAAATAATACTCATCATATTTAAGCTCAGCTCTTCCTTGAAGGAACTCCCACCCCCACACCCCAACCCCGCCCTATTCCCCACTGCTCCCTATCCTACCTGCTCCTCCACCTTGAACAAGGCTCTGAGCCCTGGCCCTGACTGCCTCTCAAAAGTGGAGGTGTGCTACTTCTCTGCCAGTTTCAGGAAAAACTGTCCCCAGGCACTTTGGTCTGGAAAGGGCAATTAAGGCTAGAAAACAGCATTCAGCCCTCCCTCACACCCCCTGCACTACCGTCATCCCCCAAACTCTAGACAGGGTCTTCAGCCATTGGAGTGTGACCATTCACAGTACATAGATGGGACCCCAAGCAAAGCAGATGGTTAATGAACATGCTGATTGCAGGCAGCTTGAACAGGATTCTGGGTCTGTAGAATTAAGTAAGTGACAAGATGTTTAAAACACAGTGGCAACTAAGTTAACCCAGGGTACTAAAAGCATTTCTTTCCAGCTTCTGGTTTTACCAGCTGCCAGCTTTCACATTTATACCCAATGCAGATGTGAAATCCTGGATCCCTAAAATACCTTGCAGAAACATCAGCCACAAAGCCCAGACCTCACTCTGCAGGCAGCAATGTGGTGGGAAAATTAGCACGGAAGGAATAAGCGACGCACGGGCAGTAGAGTGAATCAGAGGCAGTGAGGACAAAGATACTCTGGTACTTGCTGCTGGTAGAGCCTCCTTCAGTTTATCTGCAGTCTTTCTCATCATTAAGCATTCACTCTCTGATCTACACTCGGGTAACAGGAAAAGTCCCCTGCTGGAAGGAAATGTAGTATCCAAGTGAATTATTCCTCACTGTGTGCTGGATACACCACCCCTTGGCCATCTCCCCTCTTCTTAGATTGACCCTCTGCCCTGTTTTCTTGCTTTGTTTTTGGTTTTTTTGGTCAGCTTAACTGAGGCCTGGGAACATGCTAGGCAAGCACTCTACCACTTGAGCCATGCCTCCAGTACCGTGGTGCTTCACTCTGGGGCTTGAAATCAGGACTTCACACTCTGTGGCCTGACTACTTAAACCACACCTCCAGTCCATTTTTGCTCTGGAGATGGGGACTTGGGAACTATTTGCTGAGGCTGGCCTCAAACCGCAATCTTTCCAATCTCAGCCTCCCAAGTAGCTAAGATTACAGGTGTGAGCCACTGGCTCACAATTCTGCTTGCTTCACTCCTCACATGTCCATGATGCCTTCAAATTCATCTCAGCATGCTTGTCTGAATCCCCCTGGGGAAGGAAGGCATCTGACATCCTTTGTTCTTATCTGGGTGCAATTCCCACCCTACTAGAGCTGGCTTCCATGCCTGTCTCCTTACTAAATGACTGCCTCCTGGGTGGAGTATGAGTACCATCCATGTTTTTGTGCCGAGCACAAAGAAGCCCCCCAGTGTTTTTTGAGTAGGCTGTAGATAAATCATTTAATTATGGGATGACCTATTGATTTATAGTGCAAGTCAAGCCAATAGTGTCATCTTTTCTCAGATTGGTGGTAACACAGAAGTGAGTTGCTTCAAACCAAAGCCCAAGTATCAGCCATTTGTTTTCTCTTCACTGAGCATCAGATGTGACACCATGAAAAGCATAGAAGTCTTAGGGCTAGGTGACCTGCGTTCAAATCCCAGTTCCAACAATATGGAAGCAAGTTGCTGAAACTATCTAAGCCTCAGTTTCCACATCTTTAAAGTGAGAGTCATTACCAGCCCCATGATGGTTGGGGAGAGGAAAGAGATAGTGGGTGTGAATGAGCTATATCAGGGTTTGGAACCCTCTGTTCACATCTACGAAGACCCTGTATCCCTTATGGGGCTCCTGGTTTTGCCCTTAATCAGGGAATTGCAGGCAAGTTCTGTAGGGTGTTAGGAACACCCTGGAGTAGCACCAGTTCAGGGGACTTAGGTGAGGTCCTCCTCGTCATGAGAGGGTCAAGCACTGGGTACTGGAGAAACAAAAGTGGAAAAAAAAAAAACTAAACTAAAGCACATATTTTAAAAACAAAAGTGAGCCAGACTTTTATTTTTAATATTGAAGACTATAAATTGTTTCACTGTGTAGGCAGGTTTCAATAAATTAGAGATAATGAGATGGTAGAGGGAAAAAAGTAGGGAAAATAACATTTATGAAGTTCTGATTGTGAGCCCCACACCAGGAGAGGTGTTCCACATTCCTCTCCTCATTTAACCTTCACAACAGCCTGCGTTAACAGGAGTTAGAGCAGTGAGGAGGCCAGGCCCCAGGTCACAGGGGCTCAACAGTGGAGGTCAGGTTTGTTCTCCCTCTATATTCTGGGATTTTCCCATCAAGTTGTTGCAGAATGGAAAGATAAGCAGGTGGAGAGTCTGCATAGATTTCCTTGCAGGGTAAGAGGTTCAGAAAGACAGCTTCAGACCTCTCTGAGGTCAGGGGCTGAAATTCTCCAAACCCTGCCTTTTAACAGTTTGGACCAGTCAACTCCTTAGGGGTCAAAGTCTGTCTTTGAAGCTGCAACCAGACCCCACTAGTATCATCAAAGATGATGGCTTACCCCAATCCTTCCCTCACCATGGGAAAATAACAACACACCTGCACAGCAGCCCACAAGGGTGGGCTGGTAGCTGTACCATTGATATAGAAAGATATAACACGTTTTTTACTTTAAGAGTCTGTGTGAGAGGAAAATCCAGAAAGGTGCAAAGTGGGTGAGAGCTTAAACAGCCTAGGACTGATGGGCCACTCTTCCTTTTCCCTTCCAGATGTCACAGTGGATCCTTGACCTCCAGGGCCCATTAAGGTGAGAACAGATCTTTGGGCTGGTTGGCTCTACACTGAGTGAAAAGCAGTCATGGAGATGGCGGAAGGGGGACTCAATGGGAGCCAGGCATGGCTGTCCTCTCCATTTGACCTCAATGGTTCATTGGTGGCAACCAACGGCTCAAACCAGACAGAGCCATACTACGACGTGACGAGCAATGCAGTCCTCACACTCATATATTTTGTGGTCTGCATCATTGGGCTGTGTGGCAACACGCTTGTTATTTATGTCATCCTCCGTTACGCCAAGATGAAGACCATCACCAACATTTACATCCTCAACCTGGCCATCGCGGATGAGCTCTTCATGCTAGGACTGCCCTTCTTGGCCATGCAGGTAGCACTGGTCCACTGGCCCTTTGGCAAGGCCATTTGCCGAGTGGTCATGACTGTGGATGGCATCAACCAGTTCACGAGCATCTTCTGCTTGACAGTCATGAGCATCGACCGCTACCTAGCTGTGGTCCACCCCATCAAGTCGGCCAAGTGGAGGAGACCCCGGACAGCCAAGATGATCAATGTGGCTGTGTGGGGCATCTCCCTGCTTGTCATCTTGCCTATCATGATATATGCTGGCCTTCGGAGCAACCAGTGGGGACGAAGCAGCTGCACCATCAACTGGCCAGGTGAATCTGGGGCGTGGTACACGGGGTTCATTATCTACGCTTTCATCTTAGGGTTCCTGGTTCCCCTCACCATCATCTGTCTTTGCTACCTGTTCATTATCATCAAGGTGAAGTCCTCTGGAATCCGAGTGGGATCCTCCAAGAGGAAAAAGTCTGAGAGGAAGGTTACCCGGATGGTGTCCATAGTGGTGGCTGTCTTCATTTTTTGCTGGCTCCCCTTCTACATATTCAATGTCTTTTCCGTCTCTGTGGCCATCGATCCCACCCCAGCCCTTAAAGGCATGTTCGACTTTGTGGTGGTCCTCACCTATGCTAACAGTTGTGCCAATCCTATCCTGTATGCTTTCTTATCTGACAACTTCAAGAAGAGCTTCCAGAATGTTCTCTGCTTGGTCAAGGTGAGTGGCACAGATGATGGGGAACGGAGTGACAGTAAGCAGGACAAATCCCGGCTGAATGAGACCACAGAGACCCAGAGGACCCTCCTCAATGGAGACCTCCAAACCAGTATCTGAACTGCCTGGAGAAAAACAAAAACAAAAACAAGACAAACCCTGCTTCCTGGCAATGGGCTCTCACCCTTTTCCTTCCTCCCACGCATCACACTTGGCTCCTAGAACAGAGGACTACTCAGCATGACTCCACTTCAGAGAACAGTGTTTGAGTTGGCTTCTCTGATCGAAAGCTAATGTATTACACTTATTACCTCTCCCTTAAAGTGAACATTTAAATGCAAGCAGACAATTCAAAGCCTGGAGATGAGGAACTCATGCCTGGGTATCACCTTTAGAAGTGCTGAAGCCCAACAATAGAAAAAAAAAAGACTTACCTGTGTGTATGTGTGCTTACACACAATATGTAATCTTGTGTTCTGATATTTATGCTTGTACATTACTACCTAGTCTCTGTATGTTCGTTACCTAAGTGTCTTGTGATCGTGCACACAGCATAGCAAGTTCAAGTGTGTGTAGTGTATAGCAGAGTGTACATTTACCACAATATGGAGCCTGAAGAAATGGACTTACCGCGAGGCTAATCAAGTTTGAGATTCAGGGATCTGTTGTGTTGCATAAGCCTTTCCAAGGCCCAGGAGGGGCCTGAGTGCTAAATTCATGTAGTCATGTTTTGTAAAAAGAGTTGTGGAAGTAAGATATTTTTGTATTCTTTCTCTTAGGTGGCCCCCCTAAAGCTGTGTAAGCCTCCAGCCTCACAGAACCTGCCTCTGCCCCTGGGTATTTGTTTCATTAATTTCAGGCAAGTTAGGTCAAAGTCAGAAGAGAAAAGGAGAAAACATTTGAATATTTAGAATATAAATTCAAAGTTTCCTGTTCTCAGATACACTCAGTTACTCATTTACTCAAAAGGACTTAAATGGCTGCGGTCATCAATCATTGTATTTATCAAGACAAAAGCCTGCTTTATTGCAAGATTGCATTCTTTTCCTCTCAAATTGCTTTGCTTTTTCTTAGGGAGCCAAACGGGAGAAAGTCACTAACCGAAAGGCAAAACAATGGACTGGGATTCTTGTTAGGAAACAATTTTATTCTCACCCCATGCAAATAAATGAATAAGAATGAAGCAAAATGATACCTTTATGAGAAACCATGAAATTGCTTTCTTAAATGCCAGAGTTGGCTTCCCAATGAAGGAAAATGGAAATGTAATTCAACAACTCCTCAAAGGGACTTTTCAAAAGGGCTTTATACAAAGCTGGACATTATGAAAATCACAGTGCATACTGAGGACCTGAGGATACTCTTCATAAAACCCACTCGCCAGTGTGTATAATATACAGGAATGTGCAGTTGCGAACGTTGGAGGAGCCCTGTCCTTCACAGGTGTGGCCGTGCCACCTTCGTCACTGACTGTACACACAGAAGTGTCATGACTTTTATGCTACAGTCTCTCTGAACTATTTCTCAAGAACTACTGTGACAGGCACTTCACACCTTCAGTGGCATTTTTTTTGTTTCCCAACTGTAGATAGGCTGTTATAAGCAATAAGAAAAGAGGCAATACCCATTTTATTGACAGATCACAGTTTCCAGAATATGAAGCAATACATACTTGGGGTCAAGTGTGATGGTTCATACCTGTAATCCTAGGTACTCGGGAAGCAGAGCTAGGAGGATCATCGTTCAAGACCTACCTGGGCAAAAGAGTTCGTAAGACCCTATCTCCAGAAGCAAGCTAGATGTGATGGTGCATGCCTGAAATACTAGCTACTCAGGAGACAGAGGTAGAAGGATTTTAGTCTGAAGCAGGCCAGGCAAAAGTATGAGACCCTATCTGAAAAATGGAAGAATGAGGCTCTGAGTTCAAAACCCCAGTACTTCTCCCCCACCCCCCACCCCCCAAAAAGAACTATTTAGATAGATGTTTGCAAGGTGTCACCAGCTATGACTTCTATACGAAAGCATTGCTCTTAATGTCACACACAGAGATTTTACCGTACTTAAGAGTGAGCTCTCCTCTTCGGGCTCCCTAAGCAAGTGGTCAGAATGACTAAGTGCTCCACCTGTGGCTCTCCTCCTTGTCAATATAATTCTCTCTGTCTGGATCATTCGCACCATCTCATTTGCAAAAGTACTTACTGTGGCTTGGAAATTATGTTCAATGAGGGTTATGATAGACATAAATTGATACAAAATAAAAGAGGGACAGTTATAAGACAAGACTACAGGGAAAGTTGTTGCAAAAAAATGCATACAGTAAAATGCACATTGCTATTAAAGACAAAGTCAGCTGCACGTTCAACTTAGACTTGCTTCCTGGCAGCCATGTTGAACACAGCTTCTTTTTCTCTTTAAGCAACATAAAGCAAAGATTTGCAGGAAGCACTGTAAACTCATTTTCACCATTATCATAAGATGTCCCAGGGTCTTTGGATAAGTGCTGATTTTTTACTTAGGGAAATGATTCCAAAGGACCAAGAACTGACAAACATTTTCAAAGCAGATAAGAGTAATTCTATGGCATTTATAACCAGAGAAGCTGTGTCCACAAAGGCTTTGACTCAAAGCAGCCATCCACAACCTCAAAATGAATGCACACCCAGTAAGTGGGGATGTTCAACAATAGGATAATCATTTGAGGGCAGAAAGGACCCTCAAAATCAATGCTATAAACTAGGCATGGTGGTACATGCCTGTAATCCCACCTACTCAGAAGATGGAAGCAGGAGAATCACAAGTTTCAGGCCAGCCCAGGCAAAGTTAGTGAAACCCTACATCAAAAACAAAAAAATACAAACAAAATGGCTGAGAGGTGTGGCTCAATGGGTAGAGCACTTGCCTAGCAAGCCAAGGCTCTGGGGTCAATCCCCGCACTACAAGAAAAAAGAAATCAGTGCTGTAATTCCATCCAAATCAGCAATCAGGTTTCCACTATCTGGAAATGCATTCTCCATCTTTTGAAAGATTTTATTTCAAGGATGACTTGTTCTGTGGTTTTTATCCAAAAGAGGGAATAAGTTTTTAATGTAAATGTTAACATGACTTTAATTCAAAAAATTTAATCTCTGCCTCAATTCAACATCATGAAGATAAACCTGGATGCTGGGAGGGAATTAAGAAGTACTGCACCCCATCAATTTTGGGAGATCTGATCACCTGGGGTCTGCAAGCCACTACTTCCTTCCATTGGCCATGGTTGGTGAGAGCCAAATCCTAAGTGGACTTAGTGAGAATGTAAGGATTGTTTAAGATATTTCCTGACATCGTGGCCATTGTTGAATGTGTTAGCTTGTGTTTCGGTAGCAGACAATTGGGTCACATTGAACATGGAGTTGAAATTTGGTGGGGCTTGTGCCATAAGCTGGAGCAAACTTTGATGACAAGAAGAGGACAGAAGATGGAGAAACTGCTTGTAGAGGGGGACTGTGGGCTGGTGGTTGGGACTTCCAGAGCTAGCAGTGAGCTGGTCTCTCTATTTGCTTACACGAATCTAACCTCCTTTCCATGATAGAGCCTGAGTGTTGCTTGCCAAAGCCTTCAGTCCCAGCTGCGCTAGGTAAGAGTGTGTGCTGGCAAAGTGTGCAGGTCACTTGAATGGGAAGGGGGACAATGGCTGTTGAGACAAATGTTCCTAATAGCTCCAAATATGACTGTTCAATGAAGACTGCAGGAAGGAAGACAGGAGCTGTGGCCTTGTTGAAGAAAAGTGGCAAGAGAAGCATGCAAAGTTTCTATCTATGATGGGGAAAGCCTGATAAGTGTTTCTGAAGTGTGTTTCATCACAGAATCACAAGAGGTGACAGGTCCACAGCTGAGCTTATCAGTCATGATTTAGAATCAACCACTCGTTTCATCCACATTTTTGCCAGATTCAAAAAACACCAAATTTCTCATCCAAAGTTCTAGCAAAGCAACCCTTTACCTAAGAGTTATTTTGTTTCCTCTGTGTGAATTCCTGGGAACATTCTCATAGGGGGAGACTCTCATTTTTTCTAGTAGCTCATCAAGAAAATAGTTACCAGGGAACATGTTCAAATCACAGCTGCTGTTACAGATTTGGTGACCATTCACACTGAGAATACCATCTGAAAGCACCCCGCGGCCACCCCCAAGGCCTGCTCATCCGTGTCCACTCAGCAGCAGTACTGGCCGGTCAGCTTGCTGTTCTCCCGTAGGTATCTTGGGTTGTACCTATTTGGACTGTGCTTAAAAACAAAGCTAAATATTAACCAAGACCTAGCCAAACCGACTATAAAGCATTATTGATTCTCCCAAGATAGAAGTGAGGGTGATGTCATTAAAATGAAATGCTGTAGCTGGATCACCCAGCTCAGCAAGCACCTGCCTCCTGTAGGACAAAGACTTATGGGCCAGGGGCTGGTGGCTCACACCTATAATCCTACCTATTTGGAAGGCTGAGATTGGGAGGCTTGTGGTTCAAGGCCAGTCTGGGCAAATAGTTCTTGAGACCCCCCCCCATCTCCAAAATAACCAGAGCCAAATGGATTGGAGGTGTAGCTTAAGCAGTAGCACGCACACTTTGCAAGCATGAAGCTCTGAGTTCAAATCCTAGTCCCACCCCCCAAAAAAAACTTGAAGCATGAGAAAACTGAGGCCCCCAACTCAATTCTAGTGGATGGAGATGTAGTTGACATGCAGATGAGGATGGGCTTCATTTCTTCATTTTACATCTCTTTCTTTGGGGCCGGGGGGTGGACATGGACGTTTTTGGTGGGATATGGGTATGTGGTGAGCTGAGGGCTCACTTCCATTCCTGATATGGCCAGAACCAAGAGAAGAAGAATGTTCTGGTTAGGGACAGACCCTATGGTCTGGTTTTGACCCTTTCAAAAAGCCTCGTCAGAGATGGGCCACAAGGCCCACTTCCAAAGAAACCTGAAATGTCATCCCATGGCCTTGTGCACGCCAATTATTTGGTGATGGGAGCCACCATTTGCTTAAGCAATGGAGAAGGTCCCTTGGCAGTGACATCACTGAACAGAGGAAGGGAGGGCTACAGTGGGCCCAGCCCTAGGGATTGCCAGGTCTACCAAAGAAGACTGCCTTAGTCCTGGACACAGATCCCTACAAGAACAGATTATAGAAGGTCCAGTGCAGGGGCCCTGGAACG